CATTATAATTAAATTGGCAAATGCCAACGACAATGTAAGAATCTTAAAGGCTGCCAGAGAGAGACAGAAAGTTACCTATAAGGGATCTCCCATCAGACTATCAACTGATTTCTCAACAGAAACCCATCAGGCCAGAGAGGAATGAAATGAAATATATAAAGTCATGCAAAACAAGGGTCTGAATCCAAAAATACTATATCCAGCAAGGCTATGATTCAAAATTGAAGGTGAAATCAGGAGCTTCACAGCCAAATAAAGGACTAAGGGAGTTTATTACCACCAAACCAGCAATGCAAGAAATGCTAAAGGGATTGCTGTAAAAAGAAGACATAGGTAGTGAAGACGGAACACAGGCACAAAGAATAAAAATGGTGACAAACAAGTACCTATCAATAATACCTTTAAATGTAAATGGATTAAATGCCCAATCAAAAGACATAGGATAGCTGAATGACCCCATATATCTGCTGTCTACAGGAGACCCACCTCAGAACAAAGGACTCACACAGACTGATAGTGAAGGGATGGAAAAAAATTTTCAGGCAAATTGAAATGAAAAAAAAAAAAGCTGGGGTAGCAATACTTATATCTGACAAATTAGACCTCAAAGTGAAGGCCATAACAAGAGATAAGGAAGGTCACTTCATAATCCTAAAGGGAGCAATTCAACAAGAAGATATAACTCTGGTAAACATATATGCACCCAATACTGGAGCATCCAAATACATAAAAAAAACTTCTGGAAGATATCAAGGGAGAGATCGACAGCAATACAGTCATAGTAGGGGACTTTAATACCCCACTAACACCACTGGATGAATCTTCTAAACAAAAAATCAGAAATGAAACATCAATCCTAAATGACTCACTAGACCAGATGTAATTAATTGACATCTTCAGAACATTTTACCCCAAAGCCACAGAATATACATTCTTCTCAAGTGCACACAGGTCATTTTTAAAGACAGACCACATATTGGGATACAGGCAAAGTCTCTTCAAATTCAAGAAGATAGAAATCATATCAAGTATCTTCTCAGATCACAATGGCATACAACTAGAAATCAACTACAATAAAAACAATGAAAAAAAATCAAACACTTGGAAGCTAAATAGCAAGCTATTAAACAATGATTGATGAACCTCTAGCCAGGCTCACCAAGAATCAAAGAGAGAGGACCCAAATAAACAAAATCAGAAATGAAAGAGGAGAAGTAACAACCGGTCCCACAGAAATACAAAGGATTATGAAAAAATACTATAAACAACTCTATTCCAACAAAATGGAGGAATCTCCATACTGTTTTTCATAGTGGCTGCACCAGTCTGCATTCCATGCAAGGGTTCTCTATTTTCCACATCCTCTCCAACACTTGTTATTTCTTGTCTTATTGATAAAAGCTATTGTAACAAGTATGAGGTGTGATCCCTCTTCTGGGAATCTTATTCTCCCACCCCAATTTTTTTCCTAACATATGTATTTATTTTTAATTTTTCAATTACACTTTACATTCAATATTGTATCAGTTTCAGGTGTATAGCATAGTAGTTAGACATTTATATAACTTACCAATTGATCACCCTGGCAAATCTAATACCCACCCATCTGGCACCATACATAGTTATTACAATATTATATATTCCCTATGCTGTACTTTACATCACCATGACTATTTTATAACTGCCAATCTGTACTTCTTAATCGCTTCACCTACTTTAAAAATTTTAAAACACACACATATATATAATGTAATACTACTCAGTCATTAAAAAGATGAAATATTGCCATTTGTGTCATCATGGATGGATGGATGGATGGATCTTGAGAATATTATGCTGAGTAAAATAAGTCAGAGAAGGACGAGATTTCACTCATATGTGGAATATAAAACAAAAAGCAATAAATGAACAAACAAAACAAATATACAAACAAAAAAACCAACCCATAGATACAGACAACACAATGGTGGTTACTAAAGGAGAAGTGGGTAGGGGCGGGGATGAAAAAGAAAAGGGAGTCAAATACATGGTGAAGGAAGGAAACTAGGCAGTGAGTATACAATACAGATGTCATATTATAAAGTTCTACACCTTTAATTTATATAATGTTATTAACCAATGAAACCCTATTGAATTTAATGAGAAAAATTCTACTAAAATCTAGTAAGACAATAATTTTTTAAAAATAAGTCAGCAGGAGGAATTAGCAATTCTTATTCTTCAAGGCTAATTTCACATCAATGTTCCACTATCACATCTGTTCAACAAGCTCTAATATTTCAAGCTGTATGTAAACTTTTTTCAGAATTATACCAACCTTCCGGAATCCTCTCTACCTTACTCTTTGGATTAAACTCTGGGTTTTCAAAATTAACACAGATCACCCTTTTGGTACTTTGGCCTCACAGGTGCTTCCTCAAGCTTAAATCCCATGATCTGGACTCAGATCATGCAATTTCAGATCCAGCTCTATTGCATACTACTGTTTGACTGTGGGCAAGTTACTCAACCTTTCTAAACTTCATTTTCCTTAACTGTAAAATGCTCACAAAAAAAGTACTTACTCAAAGGGCCACTGTGAAACATAAGTGAGAAAATTCACATAAAATGCTTAGCATAATGCTCAGCACATTAAATGTTCAATAACATAGCTGGGATCACTATTACTATATTTCCTTTTTACTAGTTCTTGGCACAGTTCCCCTTGTCTCCAAATCTGCTCAGGTCTCCTGACTTTCCTCCCCGCCCCCCAGTTTAATTGAAATATAATTAACATACAGTTCCTGA